GGGACATTCACAATAATATTCAGCTCATTTGTTTTTGTTTTTAAAGATTTATTTATCCATTATTTTTAAAAAATATTTTATTTATATATTTTGGAGACGTGGGGAGGGTTAGAGGGAAAGAATCTCAAGCAGATTCCCTGCTGAGTACAAAGCCTGACAGGGGCATGGGTGGTTCAGTGGTAGAATTCTCGCCTGCCACAAAGCCTGACAGGGGGCTCAATCTTATGACCCTGGAGATCATGAACTGAGCCGAAATCAAGAGTCAGATGTTTAACTGACTGAGCCACCCAAGCACTCCTATCTATCTATTATCTATCTGTCTTATCTCTCTATTATCTATCTATTTTAAGTAGGTGCCATACCTGGCATGGAGCCCAGCATGGGGCTTGAACTCACAACCCTGAAATCAAGACCTGAGCTAAGACTGGTATGGGAAATCTGTGTTCTAAGGTGGCCGACCAATCCAACAGGTGATCCCAGTCCTGGCCCCAGAGCCATTTCGGGTTTTCCTCCCCTGTCCCTGCCAGCAGTGGGCACAAGAGTGGCACAGATACATAAGTAAAAGTGTATAAACTACCTCCTTTGTGCTTAGCGCTCAGACCTTGGGAGATTACTCCCCTCTGAGCTCACTTGCGTTGAATAAACCTCCGATCTCCAAGGTCTCTTGAGTGCCACTTGGTTCTTCTGCCAGGATCCAGTTCAGGTTCTGTAACAAGATCAAGAGTCAGATGTTTAACTGACTAAGCCACCGAGGCGCCCCAAGTTAATTTTTTTTTAATTACCATTCCATATAGTTAATATCAAATCTTTAATGAAAGTCTAATACAGTCTCAGTCTTTGTGTTCATGGTATTGTGGGAAATTGAGGGGTGGGCAATGAACCTAAGTGTGGCTTTCGTGCATACCTCTCTAGTCATATAAGCAACATATCCATTGAGTTCTCAATGGTCACCAGCATCAAAAGGGGCAGGGGTCCTTGGTGAAGCTACCCCAAGAAAATGTTAAATTTCTCAATCTGCAGAAATCCTGGGGCAGGAGCTACCTTTCCCACATCAATGGTTAGTGGGATGATGCTGAAATATCGAGAAGGACACTTTGGGATATCTGGAGGATTCAGAAACACCAGGTGGCTGATAATCTAGGGTATAGAAAAGAAGACCTTGGGGTAGAAAGTAGGGAAAACGAACAGAGCACTGTCTTCGACTTGAAGAATGAGAGAGAACAGAAAGAACATTGAAACAGCAAAGGAAGACTTGGGAACAGAATTGCCCCTGAAGAAATCTTATTTTTTTCTACTTATTAACTAAAGCTATTCAAAATCTCTTAATATACAGAACCTTTGTTTTTATCTGAAATAGTAATTAGGGACTTAGTATATCTTTTTAGCTGGATTTCCCCCAATATTATTTGTGTGCCCCCTCACTGGAGATTTATAGGGATTTATGTGTGCTAGCTGATTGCCTTTGTGGGAGGCAGTGTTGTGGTTAAGTGCATAGACTGAGCCAACTGGCTGAGTAGAATCCCCGCACAATGGCCCAGCTCACCACTTCTTGGCTGGGTGACCTTAGCTACTGGCTTACTCACTCCACATACTTACTCTTTAAAATTGGGCTTAATAATAGTGTCTGTCTAATAAAGTTGCTGTGAGGATCAAAGGAGTTAATACATGAAAACTATTTAGAATGGTGCCTGGCACATAGTTAGATCTAAGTCTTAGCTGTTACTTATTTTCTATTAGATGTAGTACTGAGGCACTACATTCCTTGAAGGTACTACTCAGTGTGTGTTAGGAATCCAGCGTATTTCATTTTGACTTCTAAGGTAATAAATGTGCATAAGGTAAAAAAAATTTCCAACTGTATACTTGCACAGTCCAATATCATAGCCATTAGCCACACGTGAATATTAAAATATTTCCATCATTGCAAAATGTTCTATTAGAGCTGGTAGATAGTTAAACCTCCCAACCATTCCTACCCGAATCCCTCTCCCCAGGGGCAATCACTGTTATAGGTTCCTTGCATAGCTTTTCATGGTACACACACACACACACACACACAATTTTTTACACAAATGTTACCATATCATTACATTGTCCTGCATCTAAATGTTGTTTAAAAATATACTAATTTATACTACTAGTAATATTCTAAATATACTAACATAGCTTTCTACATTTAATCAGTTAACAGTTCGACAATTTAGAGCACGTGATATTAGGGTTACAAAGCAATCATGCAAACTTGAATGCACGATTCAAATATATTAAGCATCTTGTTGTATTTGGGCACAAGGGTAAGTACTACTTCAATTTCCTTTCTGCATTGCAGATGCGGAACCCACACTAAAGTTGGGTTAACTGAAGTCACGAACTAATCATCTCGCCTCCCCACCAGCATCGCTGGGAAGCCTTTAGCCCCCCGCCCCTGCCCCACACAGACGTCCAGCGCGGCGGAAACCCCCTGCATATATGCTGGGGTGGGGGTCACTGTCGCCAGTCTCCGACTCAGTGGGGGGCCCGTCCACAGGCGACGAGAGAGCCCATAGCCGCCGTCAGTCCACTCCTGGGGGGGGGGGGCTTGTGGGGGAGACAAGGACCCGGTTGTCCGTAGGCGCGCTGGGCCCCCACAGGCCGGGGAGCCTGGATCCGCGCGCTGCGCCCTAGGAGCGCGGCGCCCCCTGCAGTCCGCCCGAGGAGCGCGCCGCTGGCTCGCGGGAAGCCGGGAACATGGCGGGGCGGACTGTGGCCCCGGCCTCGCAGCCGACAGACCAGGACGGAGCAGCGCCCAACGTGGTGGCGCGGGTCTCGCAGTGGGCCGACGACCACCTGCGTCTCGTCCGGGTACCGGAAACCAGCCGGCCGGGCAGGCGGTGGGCACGGGGCCTCGCGGAGCGAGCCCGAGGGAGGCGGGCTGCGGGAGGCCGCGCGCAGTGGAACCATGAGGGCCCGGGCGGGGCGGAGGGCCGCTTCGCCAGGATAGCGAGGGACGGGCGGTCGTGGCGGGGAGTGCGATCTGGTTGGGCTGGCTGCGTGGGATGGGCGCGGAGGGCCAAGGAGGCCACCTCTGCCAAATTACTGCTAGGACCGTGGTGGGCCCCGGGGACACCTCAGAGACATACGCAGCACAGAGTGGGGCGCCAGCACCGCCCCCCCCCAAAGCATTTGGGGACGGCGAGGCACAGGAAACCAAGGGTGGGGGGTGGGCACGTGGTCCCGTAGTCCTTATGTTTCTAATGAAGTGAGAGGGCACTGGAGTTCGACCAAGCGTGGGACATCTTAGGTGACCAGGCGACACAAGATTGTGGCTAGTTCCCCGGGAATGGTGTGATTGATTTGGGGTGGGAGGTAAAGAAAGAGGAAGCAAGGGGTGGACGGTGGTCAAAGTTGCTTCTGGGAAGGAGTTGGGAGTCAGTGATTTGTTGGGGAAATCTGGAGGACTCTTTGGACATGTGAACTTGAAGGTGGACGTGTGTGAACCTGAAGATGGTTATTAGAATTCTAAACCAAGTTCTAGATGTTATCTAGGCAACCAGGTATAGGAATCTGGCATTGAAGGGAGATCATAACTGGACATACAACTTTAGGAATGAACCACATAAACCTTAAGCTAGTGTTTTAAGCTTGAATGGCATCTTGGAACGAGTCAGAAGAGTTTCTGAAATCCTAGAATTGAGACCTGGGACCTGAAGGATTCTCTTAACATTTAGAATTTGTGAAAAGGAGGAGGTCAGCAAAGATTGGAAAGAAACAGTGAAGGAGTAGGAGGAAAATCAGGAAAACCAGGTGTCCTAGAAGTCAAGGGAAGAGAATATTTTCAGAGAGAATGAGTAACTATGTTAAATTCTTCTGAGAAGTTGAGTAGGACCATCAGTTTTGCAAAGGCTCTGCAATCATGCCCCACAAGGCCCTGGACCATGGCTGTTTCCTTCCCAAGTACAGCTCTTACCCCTAGAATATTGCCTACCACTTAGTAAGTGCTAGACAGGTATGGGTGGCATTAATGAATGATAGATACACACGTGTTAATTGACAAAGCCTGGCTTCTTCCAGTGAAGCAGAATTTGGTGCATGGGTTGTTTCAAATTAAAAAAACGACTTCAGTAGATTGAGAGAGGGAACAGTGTTTAAACTGGCATATGGAAGGATGCCTGGGTGGCTCAGTCAATTAAATGTCCACCTTCAGCTCAGGTCATGATCTCAGGGTTCTGGGATCGAGCCCTGCATTGGGCTCCCTGCTCAGCTGGGATCCTGCTTCCCCCTGTCTCTCTGCCTGCCTCTCTGCCTACTTGTGATCTCTCTCTATCAAATAAATAAATAAAATCTCTTAAAAAAATCTTTAAAAAATTGGCATATGGATACATTATTCCAAATATCCCAATCACAGGGTGTATCTTTGTGTATATTTCCTTTTTCCCCCCACAAATGGGAAATCCACAGAATAAATAAAAGGCATTATGTGATGGTAATTACAAAGTTTTCACCGTTTTGTTTTATGTTTGCCTGATGTTTAGAGGAAGATCAGAGTTGGATCTAAGTAGCTTTACTTCAACACTAAGAGCAATCTTAGCATCTTCATTTCTTTGGGTATATTTTCAGCTTCATTTCTTACTTACCTAGTTCTATTTCTTGAAGGAAAACATGTTAGATTATCACGCTTGTTGTGGGAGCCTCAGGTTCTTATTTTTAAGTTTTTTTTTTAAGTTTTTTTTTTTTTAATTTTAAGTTTTTTAAGTTAAAAATTTTTAGGTCTATTTCAGTGTGTGTGTGTGTGTGTGTGTGTGTGTGTGTGTGTGTGTTTTAAAGGATTTTATTTGCTAATCTGCTTGACAGAGAGAGAGAACGAGCAAAAGCAGGAGGAGCCGCAGGCAGAGGGACAGGGAGAGGAAGGGTCCCTGCTGAGCAGAGATGCCTGTGGGGCTTCGTCCCAGATCGGGACCTGAGCTGCAGGCAGATGCTTAACTGACAGAGCTACCTAGGTGTCCCAGTCTATTTCTAATGAAGCACTTTAAAAACATTGATAAGTTCTTCCCAACTCTTCTCCCACATATACATCTAAAGCATTATATTTTAAGCTTTGGATAGTAAAGTTTTCTACCAAATATTTACATTCCCACTGTAGACTCAGGGTTATGCAAGTTACTGTGGACATTGTTCAAGAAGTATTAGACTGATTCATGCATTTAAGGAATTATGGTTAAAAGGAACAGTCAATAGAGAACAATACAATATTACATATGTAATTACTGTGCGTGCCAGATTGTTTGGGGAAAAAGCAGGAAGATTAATGAGTAGGTGGGCAGTTAAAGTTTGTTGGGAGAAATGGGCCGTTAGTTGAAGGATGCACTTTATTTGGACAGTTAATAGAGAGGTCAGTCTTCTTTTTGGTCCCCTTCCAATGAGTACTTTTACTATTATGAATAACAACTAGTGAGAATTAATCATTTAATCTCTTTCTGAAGAACATCAGCACCGTAATGGCCGTAGCTGGAACAGTGTTACTTCTAAGAAGTGTTCGGATGGTAAGTTAAAAAAATGAAGAAGGCACTATGATAAGCAAGAGACAGTTAATTTCTTCTCACTTGTGGACCATTTTTCTCTCAAGCAGTGTATCATTTTGTTATTCATATTAGAAGTCTTAAATATTGGGGCGCCTGGGTGGCTCAGTAGGTTAAAGCCTCTGCCTTCGGCTCAGGTCATGATCCCAGGGTGTTGGGATCGAGCCCCACGTCGGGCTCTCTGCTCTGCGGGGAGCCTGCTTCCTCCTCTCTCTCTCTGCCTGCCTCTCTGCCTACTTGTGATCTGTCTGTCAAATTAAAAAAAAAAAAAAAAAGAAGTCTTAAATATTATTTTAGAACAACAAACCCATTTTAAGATCTTGGTTTAAAAGCAACACATCCGCAGGATTGTATGGAAAGTGATTGCCCGGTCTGTATTTCCATAATCACCTTTCTTCATGCTTAAAAAGGAATCTGTAAAGGATTTAGTTGGCTAGAATGCTGTAATCACTAAATTTGCATTTCAGACGTTGTGGCATGTCTCAAAACCGTTTTGTATAGTGGTTTTAGATTATAGTCAAATTATGTCCTTTAGCACTGAATAATTTATACTTTCTCCAATTTGTAGCAATCTGTAAGATCTGTTTAATGAACAGAGCAAGAAGTGTGATGTAAAAACATAATTTATATTCTCAGTTAGCATATTTTTCGGCCTTTCAGTAATGTTTTAATAATAGATATTACGGAATCCTTTTGACAATTCAGGCTTTGAAAGTTCTTTTAAGTAACTGATTCTTGTCACTGAGTGTAATTGTAGTGTCATGTTACAGTCTGGAATGAGTTTATTGCTTCTGTGTATATTAATGTCTTGCGTTTATTATCTCTATATTGTTTTATATTATCATTGAATACGTAGCTTTACTGTACTATATAGTACATCTTTTCCAACTCCTGCCTTTTCCCTCTGACTCCAAAGTCAGACTTTTATCCCCCCATTTTTATTAAGTGTCTTGAACTCATTTTTAACCTTGTATCTAATAATCTAATAGGTTTTTTCTTTTAACACCTCCATGATTTTGTAAGTCATTCACATTTAGCTTATATTTTTAAAGTGGAACTTTTGAAGCTTTAGCTCTTTTCATTTCACTTTTTTCTTTATCTTACAATCTATGTTCCATGACATTTGTATTTTGAAGGTTTCAAAATTGTCAAAATACTAAATGATCTGATTAAGAATTTAGGTAAAAATAAGGGGTGCTTGGGTGGCTCAGTCGGATAAGCATCTATCTTCAGTTCAGGTCATGATCCCAGGATCCTGGGTTTGAGCCCTGCAGTGGGCTCCCTGCTCAGTGAGGAGTCTGCTTCTCCCTCTGCCCTTCAACCCACTCGTGTTCTCTCTCACTATCTCTCTCTCTCAAATAAATAAATAAAATCTTAAAAATAGAATTTTGGTAAAAATAAATCTGAGGGATTACTTCACTTGTTAGCCCTTAAAAATGACATAAATTAATTATAGATTGTTCTAATTTATACAATATTAGGTATGTTATTGATTTATGCAAATTACTTATTCATTAATAGTAATTTATATTAGTATGTTATGAAGTTATTCATCTTAGACCATAGTTCTGGTGTCTTTTTTTCTTAGGTTTATGAGTTTTGAAAATAATGAATAGTGGTGAGAAGAGCAAGCTAAAGAGGTAGAAAAAGAATATTGGAACATTAGGGGGCAAACAATTTTATTGTGTAACAGTTGGAGAACTTTGGCTACAAGCAGGAGAAACCCCATGCAGCAGTAGTTTAACCAATTTAAAAGGCTTTTTTTTTCCTCATGTTGAAAGACTTCTGGAGGTAGGATGCTGCTGGCATTGGTCTCTGGGTCAATGACAGAGAGTTTAGGTCTGTATGATTCTCTGTGCCTTTCCTCATGGCACAGAATGGCTGCTGTAACTCCAAATAGCATATTCACGTTCAAAGCAGAAGAAGAGGGAAAAAGAAGGTGCCAGCCACATGTTTTCCTTTTTATTGAGAAAACAGAAGTTTTACCAAAAGCCCTCAGTAGACTTTTGCTTACATCCTTTTATCATATGGCCACCTCTAGGTGGAAAGGAGGTTGGGAAGGCGGTCATTTAGGTTTTCCATCCCTTATAGTACATGATGACAAAAGAAAGAGGCTTGGGAATAGATAATGCATTAACCAACCAAAGTCCTGCCACAAAGGGGACCTAATAGCTCCCCTTCAGCTTTCTTTCTGTATTTCCTCCCCTTTTTCCTCCTCCTGAGTTTACCAACCTCTCATATTCTTTCAGCTACTGGTAGATAAGTCCAAATTTCATATTTAAAAAGTAAAAAATGATGATTGAGTTCAGTACTGTGCTAAGCACTTGAGATACATAATTTCATTTAATACTTAAAATAATCATATGAAACAGGTATTTTTAAAAATTTATTTATTTATTTATTTGTTTGTTTGTTTGTTTATTTAGAGAGTGTGGGAGAGGCAGGGGGGAGAGAGAATCTCAAGCAGACTCCCCACTGAGCACAGAGCCTGACGTGGGGCTTGATGCCATGACCCTGAGACCATGACCTGAGCCAAAATCAAGAGTCAGATGCTCAGCCAACTAAATCGTCCAGGTGCCCTGAAAGAGGCATTCTTACACCTAATTTTTATGGACAGAGGAGATGGATACTCGAAGAAGTTAAGTAATTCTCATCCATCTAGTATGTGGCAGAACTGGATTCCAAATTTCATATTCCTGAATTTGAAACACTTATTATTTTCTTTTCATAGTGTTTCCAGCTTTTGTCTCTTTGCCTTTAGGACACTTCCTTCTCCATCTGAGGCTTAGGGACAGTGTTCTTGTTAGTGGCATCATCTTTCTGCCTCTTCTAGAGAGCAGGATGTTTATCACAAGTTTAGAATTCACTTGCTTTAAGATGTCTCCCTCAGATCTTCTTATTCTTTCCATTTTTGACCCTTTAGCATTTATGACTTTATTTACTTATTTGAGAGAGAGTGAATGGGGGGGAGGGGTAAAGGGAGTGGGAGAAAGAGAATCTTTATCAGGCTCCATGGAGCCTGACTCGAGGCTCGATCTCATGACCCTGAGATCATGACTGGAGCCGAAGTCAGATGCTTAATGGATTGAACTCTCCAGGCAGCCGAACCCTTTAGCACTTATACTTTATCTTTTTTTTTTTTTTAAGACTTTATTTATTTATTTGACAGAGAGAGAGAGCACAAGCAGGGGTGGTGGCAGGCAGAGGGAAGGGAGAAGCAGGCTCCTCGCCAAGCAGAGAGCCTGATGTGGGGCTGGATCCCAGGCCCCTGGGATCATGACCTGAGCTGAAGGCAGATGCCCAACTGACTGAGCCACTCGGGGGCCCTCTTATATATTGCTTATCTTAAACCTACTTATATATTGCTCTGCAGTTGTATTCTGGTTTTACTTACATTGTTAGTTCATCTCCCAGATAGTGCCTGTTATGTCACAGAAATACAACACCGAACTTTCTGCTGTTGAGGGATTATTGGATGCAGAAAAGGTAGATGCAATGGGATCTGCCTTTAAAGGTTCCTCACATAGATGGTGAATTTGGTGAGAGCAAGGATCATGGGTTCTATTTCAGTTTCTTCCCCTAGCTCCTTAATAATTTCTAAAATTCCAAGCACCAAGGCACTCTTAGATCTTTTTATGTATATCCTCAATGAAAACACCTAAAATTAAAAAGGGATAGATATTTAGTAATTGGAGATGTCTTTAATGACCCTCTCTACTTCTAAGTCTTCCCTCCCCTGTGCGAGATATTCTTGGTTTTCTCATGTGATGTGGTTTCCAGGCACTTTATCATCTTCTTTCTCATCTTCTAGTTTTGTTCTAGTTTGTTGTTGAAGTCTTTTATGAGATATGGTACGCAGGAGAGCACAGTATATCCCATGAGGGCCTGATCTAGAACAATCTCTTCCTTATTTCTTGTTTGGGATCTGTTCCTTACAATGTTGCTTGGTGTTTGAATTTGGTGGGGAGCAGTGAAGAGTGGAGAGGAGAGGGAGTTTGTACTTTTTTTTTGTAGACTTGTCACACTTTCATTTCATTTTGAGTTCACAATGAACTAAAGTTCTTTATCTTTCTCATATATCCTACAATTAGTTTATTGTCTTCTATCCTACATTAGTTTTGGGGAGTACAGGGGAAGACTTTTATATTTTATCCCATCATCCTAGTTGTCAGGATCTTTTAAAATACTAACTCTCACTTTTAGTATTCATAGTTTTTTTTTTCCCAAAAGATTTTATTTTTAAATAATCTCTGTACCCAGTGTGGGGCTTGAACCCACAACCCCAAGGTCAAGAGTTGCATGCTCCACCAACAGAGCCAGACAGGTGCTCCCCCCCAACACTTCGATTAAATCATAAGTAAAATATTAATATAAAATTAAGGACAAAATTAAAAATTTTCAGTGGTTATATCTTCTTGTTAAATGTTTAGATGACAATTTGACATAATTTAAAATGAAAATAATAATAAAATATTGTGTTTTTTTTATAAATCAACAGACATCAAAATTTACAAGTTCTTCAGATATTCCAGTAGAATTTATACGAAAGAATGTTAAACTACGTGGACGATTACGCCGAATAACTGAGAATGGCTTAGAAATTGAGCATATTCCTATTACTTTACCTATCATATCTTCATGGAAAAGTAAGTAGAGTGAGAAAATAACACAACTATTTTAGTATTTGTTAATTAGAAGTCATTTGTAAAATAGCAAAAAAAGTCATTTTAAGTTTTAGTAGCTTTGTGAGGGAAAGTACAAACTCTTGGCTTTAAATACAAGGGACAGGGGCGCCTGGGTGGCTCAGTGAGTTAAATCCTCTGCCTTCAGCTTAGGTCATGATCCCAGAGTCCTGGGATCGAGCCCCGCATCGGGCTCTCTGCTCTGCAAGGAGCCTGCTTCCCCCTCTCTCTCTGCCTGCCTCTCTGCCTACTTGTGATCTCTGTCTGTCAAATAAATAAATAAAATCTTAAAAAATAAAAATAAAAAAATAAATACAAGGGACTATTTAATTTGGCTTCAGATCCCCCCCCTTTTTTTATTCCACCATTCAGGATTTCATTCAGGCGTTTATGCATTCTTTCCACAAATAATTGAGCAACCGTTATGTCATGTTGTTGTAATTATGTTGTCATAATTTAAATCTCTTCTCTCTGGAATAGTGATGACTTTTCAGGGCTCAGGCAGCAATGTCACCACCTGGGTTTGTCCAGGCTGTACACTGCACAATTCTGGGGATGCTATTAAGTAGAACCTGCTTCCAGAGGTCATGCTGAGACAGCACTGTAAATTGCCATATATGCATTTGCTTATAATGGCTTCTCCATCCTGTTCTGGAGCTTACTGAAATGGGTTTTTTACATTATTCCATATGTTACATGCTTCGGTTGCTTTAAAAGAAAAGTTGAATACAGATATAAATAGATCTACATTTAGAGAGTCTGGGTGTTTGTAAAGAAGCATAGTATATTTAGTCGTTTTGCGGGGGCATGTGACTTTGAAATTTGCTTTTGCAACATGATATTAAAGCTAGACAATTTTCTATCTAACCTTTTTAGAAGAGCCCTGTGGTGTTTTGTTGGTTAAACTGGCAGGAGTAGAACTCACTGAAACTGGGAAGGTGTGGTTACAAAAAGAGTTAAAACCTTCCCAATTGCTATGGTTTCAACTTCTTGGAAAGGAGAATTCGGTGCTCTTTTGCTATCTTCTAGTGAATAAGGTAAGTGTGAAGAAATCATGAGCAGTATTTTATTCTTTTTATTTGTTCAGAGCCATCATTAATTAGAATCTTGAATCTACAATGGGACTGAATTTTTGTCTTTCTTAACTGCTACTCATAGTGATCATGTGTAGTGAACCAGGTGTTTCATATATACATTTTGTTATTAAATATTATTTATATGTTTATTATAAAAAATGGAAAATTAAGAACATGAAAGAAACCTAAAATTATTAATGACTTTGGACATTGCTCATTTGAGGATTATCTTTACACATTTACTTATACATGAGTATAGTGTATCGCCCTTGTTATTAGAAACTGCTTGTTGAGTGAGCCCTGTCAGCTGGAAACTACAAAGAGCAGGGGTGTTTTCTGAAGTAAATAGTGCTCAGTCTCTGAACTGTAAAGTCGAGAATATTTAAGTACTGTTTATGATCTGTAATCAGTCAACTAAAGACTTGCCTCCGAGTTTTCCTACCATTATGACTGACCATGGCCACTGTGTAACTGGGGATGCTGTGGAGCTTCATCAGTGTCCCTGTGTCTCTGTCCTGAGTCCTTGCAGGAGCCTTACTTCAGGCTTTTGGTGGACGATTACTGAAAAAAGAATGTAGAAAATTAAGTAGGTAAAGTGTTATGACAGGTTGAAGTACAGTTTTCTTACTCTTAAAGTCCCTTATTGGAGCACCTGGGTGGCTCCGTCATTAAGCGTCTGCATTCGGCTCTTGTCATGGCCCCAGGGTCCTGGGATCAAGCCTGCATCAGGCTCCCTGCTCAGCGGGAAGCCTGCTTCTCCCTCTTCCACTCCCCCTGCTTGTGTTTCCTCTCCTGCTCTCTTTCTCTCTGTCAAATTAATAAATAAAGTCTTTAAAATAAATAAATAAAGTCCCTTATTATATAACAAACAAAAATAATCTGAGGAAAAAAATAACCTCATGTTAAAGGGATTAAAATTGTAACCATTTTGAATTCTTAGAGCTTTTTGAACTATTGATAGAAAGCCTGATGAAACCCGTTAATTTCTGTATGTCTGGGTCATATGCAGTTCTTTTTTTTTTTTTTTTTTTTAAAGATTTTATTTGTTTGACAGAGAGAGAGAGATCACAAGTAGGCAGAGAGGCAGGCAGAGAGAGAGAGAGAGGGAAGCAGGCTCCCCGCTGAGCAGAGAGCCCGATGCGGGGCTCGATCCCAGGACCCCGAGATCATGACCTGAGCTGAAGGCAGAGGCTTTAACCCACTGAGCCACCCAGGCGCCCCATATGCAGTTCTTTCAAAATAAGAATTATCCAACACTGATTGGTTGAAGTGTCTTAGAGTTAAAAGTAAGCTGGTAGGGGTCCGTGGCTGCTTCAGTCAATGGAGCATGCAACTCTTAATCTCAGAGTTGTGAGTTCAGGCCCCACCCATGTTGGATGTAGAGATTACTTACAAATAAAATCTTTTTTTAAAAAAATAAAAAGCAAGCTGGTAATGCAAAATATATAAAGATGCCAAAGGCCTTACAAAAATATTATGTTCTCCAGGCACCTGGTTGGCTCAGATGGTGGAGCATGTGACTCTTTTTTTTAAAAGATTCAATACTTTTTAAAAAGATTTTATTTATTTTTTTGACAGAGATCACAAGTAGGCAGAGAGGCAGGCAGAGAGAGAGAGGGAAGCAGACTCCCCACTGAGCAGAGAGCCTGATGCGGGGCTCAGTCCCAGGACCCTGAGATCATGACCTGAGCCGAAGGCAGAGGCTTTAACCCACTGAGCCACCCAGGTGCCCTGAGCATGTGTCTCTTGATCTTGAGGTCATGAATTAGATCCCCACGCTCGGTATACAGATACTTAAAAATAAAAAAAATGTTGGGAGCTTGGGTGGCTCAGTAGGTTAAGTGCCTGACTCCTGATTTCTGCTCGGGTCATGAGCTCAGGGTCATGAGATCAAGGCAGGCATTGGGTTATGCACTCAGTGGGGAGTCTACTTGATATTCTCTCTTCCCTCCGTCTCTCCCCCTGCTGGCCCTTGTGATATATGCTCTCTCTCAAATAAATAAATAAAATCTTTTGCAAAAATTTTTTTAAAGATTCTGTTTATTTGAGAGAGAGAGCACAGGCATATGGAGGGGGGAGGGGCAGAGGGAGACTCAGACTCCTTGCTGAGCTGGGAGCCTGACAGGAGGCTTGATCACAGGACCCTGAGATCATGACCTGAGCCTAAGGCAGATGCTTAACTGACCCAGGTGCCCCATAAATAAAATCTTTAAAAATAAATAAATAAATAAATAATAAAAAATAAAAATAAATTTTTTTAATTAAGAAAACATTATCTTTGGTTTTAAATTGAGAAGTATATTTTATTTATCCTCAAAACCACCCTATGGAGTCATTGTTTTTACTCCCATTTATAGATGGGACTCAGGGTAACCAAGTGGAAGAGCCTGTATTCAACCCAGCCCTTTCTGGCTCCTGAGCTCATACTTCACCTTAAATACTTTAGCTTATATTACTTCCTAGGTGACCCAACTATGCAGTATATGCATGCTGTGGTAATTTGCATTTGTTGAATTTACTAATGTGTGAGATTGAATTTTAGTTATTCTGATTTTGGTTTAAGGGAATGAGCTCTTATAATTTAAAAGATTGAGAAAAACACAATAAATCCTTTAAGACTGTATTTATTAACTCATTATGACCAAAAGTTACTGCATTTAAAGGAAAAAAGGTTACTTTGTTCCTTATGAAAGTCCTAAAAATGTCTCTTACTTGAAACCTGGAGTTTTCGCATTTTTAGAATTTAATTGTGAAGTACTTGACTAAGAAAGCTATTAAATTATTAGTGTTAAAATTAATCTCATTAGGTTAAAATCCCACAAGGACTATATAAATAGCTAAGCAGGATCTCCTTTTTTTTATTTTTTATTTTTTTTATTTTAAGATTTTAAAAAAATTAATCTCTACACCCAACATGGGGCTCAAACCCACAACTCCAAGATCAAGAGTCTTAGGTCTACTGACTGAGCCAACCAGCCTCCCCAGCAGGATCTCCTTTATACTGTAAATTAGTAGGAAAAAATCCCATTTATCCAGTTTCATTTAGAAGTGAGGTTTTCCTTGAAGAAAATTTCCTAAAGGATGAAGATGCATGGTCCAGTCCTATTTGTCATGTAAAAATTATTTTGTGGTGGGGCACCTGGGTGGCTCAGTGGTTTAAGCTTCTGCCTTCAGCTTGGGTCATGGTCTCAGGGTCCTGGGATCGAGCCCCGCATCGGGCTCTCCACTCGGTGGGGAGCCTGCTTCCCCCTCTCTCTCTGCCTGCCTCTCTGCCTACTGTGACCTCTCTCTCTCTCTGTCAAATAAATAGATAATCTTTTAAAAAAAATTATTTTGTGGGAAGTCTTTTAAAAATGTATTTGGGGTGCCTGGGTGGCTCAGTGGGTTAAAGCCTCTGCCTTAGGCTCAGGTCATGATCCCAGGGTTCTGGGATCGAGCCCCACATCATGCTCTCTGCTCAGCGATGAGCCTGTTTCCCTTCCTCTCGCTGCCTGCTCTCTGCCTAATTGTGATCTCTGTCTGTCAAATAAATAAATAAATAAAATATATATATTTTTTAAAGATTTTATTTATTTATTTGACAGACAGAGACCACAAGTAGGCAGGGAGGCAGGCAGAGAGAGAGAGGAGGAAGCAGGCTCCCGGCTGAGCAGAAAGCCCCATGCGGGGCTCGATCCCAGGACTCTGGGATCACGACCCGAGCCGAAGGCAGAGGCTTTAACCCACTGAGCCACCCAGGCGCCCCAATAAATAAAATATTTTAAAAAATAAAAAATGTATTTACATGCCAGCACCTTCTTACGCACTGGAATTCTGAAACCTAATCTAATAGTTCAGTGATGATTCAGTTCAATTTGCATTTGTGTGCTTTTAGTTTCTTTTGTTATAGCCTCTGTTGTTTTGCTTATTTTGTGTGCTTCTTTATCCCAAACATCAAACAAACAAAAACCGATTTTTATACTTTATTACTTTTACATCTCTTTGGGTTAGAAGACCAGTGAGTTTGTGGGGAACTGTATGCTACAAAAGAGGCAATTAAGATGTGCCCAGGTGACTCAGTCAGTTAAGCGGCTGCCTTCTGCTCAGGTCATGATCTCAGGGTCCTGGGATCCAGTCCAGGTTTAGGCTCCGGGCTCCCTGCTCCCTGCCCGGTGGGAAGTCTGCTTCTCCCTCTGCCCCTCCCCCTGCTCGTGTGCTCCCGCACTCTCTCTCTCAAATAAATAAATAAAATCTTTAAAAAAAATAAAAGAGGCAATTAACTTTGAACAAGGATCTCTCCTAGTAATGAAATTCTTGGATTTAGTATTAGCTGTTTTAAGTTCTTAGAGAGCCCTTTGCTTTATGTTTTTTGGCTTTGGAGGCTAAGTTGCTAAATGACTGATTTTTTTTTTAAGACTTTATTTATCTGTTTATTTTATTTTATTTTTTTTTAAAGATTTTATTTATTTATTTGACAGAGAGAGATCATAAGTAGACAGAGAGGCAGGCAGAGAGAGAGGAGGAAGCAGGCTCCCCGCCGAGCAGAGAGCCCGATATAGGGCTCGATCCCAGGACCTTGGGATCATGACCCGAGCCGAAGGCAGAGGCTTTAACCCACTGAGCCACCCAGGTGCCCCTTATCTGTTTATTTATTTATTTTTTTTTTTAAAGATTTTATTTATTTATTTGACAGACAGAGATCACAAGTAGGCAGAGAGGCAAGCAGAGAGAGAGGGGGGAAAGCAGGCTCCCTGCCAAGCAGAGAGCCTGATGTGGGGCTCAATCCCAGGACCCTGAGATCATGACCTGAGCTGAAGGCAGAGGCTTAACCCACTGAGCCACTCAGGCGCCCCCTTATCTGTTTATTTTAGAGAAAGAGAGAGAGAACATGTGAAGGGAAGGGAGAGGCAGAGGGTGTGGGAGAGAGAGAATCTCACAGACTGCACTGAGCACGGAGCCCGACGCAAGGCTAGATATTAAGACCCTGAGATCATGACATGAGCCAAAATCAAGAGCTGGGTGCTTAACCCACTGAGCCACCCAGGTGCCCCTCTGAATGATGATTAAATTAATTAATTGGTTTATTTATTTATTTTTTTAAAAGATTTTATATATGTGTTTGAGAGAGAGAGAGAACGCGAGAGAGATAGCACAAGGGGTGGGGGGGAGAGGTAGAGGGAGAAGCAGACTCCCCACTGAGCAGGGAGCCCAATGTGGGGCTCCATCCCAGAACTCTGGGATCACCACCCGAGCCAAAGACAGACACTTAATTGACTGAGCCACCCAGGAGCCCCTGGATGATTATTTAATTTAAATAAATAAATAAATTTCAAAGTGAAGATGTTATAGGTATAGTAGCAATTTTCTTTAGTAATTGGTCTGTGTTATTTTTTCTTCAAGGGTAGGTATTTTAGTGTGAGTCTGAATGAAGAAATTTTGAGAAGAGGCCTTGGCAAAACTGTTCTTGTTAAAGGGCTAGACTATGATTCTAAAATCTATTGGACAATTCACAGAAACTTACTTAAAGCTGAATTAACAGCCTTAAAAAAAAGAGAAGGAATATGGAAGGAAGAATCTGAAGAAAGTTATTTGGAAAAATTCAAAGGCTCCTGGAGAGAAATATGGAAAAAAGACAGTTATTTTAAAAAAATTGGATCAGATTTCAATTTGAAAAAAGAAAGTTATTATGAGAAATTTAGAAGGACTTATGACACATGGAAAGACAACATAAATAACTACTCCTTTATATTGAAGTTCAGAGAACTTATGAATCGCATACACTTTCGTAGAAAAGGGTGAACTATTCCAAGGGGTCTGGAGGTGACCCACTCAGAAAAGAGTAAAATATGTAAATATGTAGATGTTTTCATTGAGTTGAAATGGAAATTTCTCTGAATGATCTAAGTTGCACTCTGATGGTATTTAAATATTTAAGAGATGATTGTTTTAAATGTAATAGAACAATTTAAGCAAGTTGTAATTAATGTAATATGCTTTTAGGAAAAATGAAATACTCTATAAAGTCACCAGGATAAAGGATATATACCTGTAGTGCTAATATTTGAAAAGAGAGTTTAACTGTTGGACACTGTTATTTTCGGCATCCATATTTAATTTTTGTTGAAAGAATATTTGTTGACTTTTCCAGTTTTATCAATTTTGATTACTTGTAATAAATTAACTCTTTATACATCATGCCTGAGGCTAATTTTTTCCCCTAACTGCTTTCTAACTACCTATGAATGTGGGGCAAAGCTACACGAGAAGGTCACCTAACCCATTTTTAGTAATAAGGAATGGCTAATTTCTACTTGTTGTTAGATGAAGGGAATAACCCTCCGGACAGAATCATGAGGATAATTATAAGGACGAAAAGCAATGTGCTGAGGAGGCAGCCCCCAAGATAGAAAGAATAGGAATGCTTAGGACATTGTTGAGTCCCTAAAGTAGCCGATCTTTGAAGTATCTTGAATCCCAGTTCCTCATGTAACATGGTAAATTTCTTTGTTTTTAAAGCCAGTTTGAGTTGGTCTGAGGATCTGATATATACATATACTTGCTGCTAAAATCATCCTAACACTACAGGCTTCTTTTATAACACCAGTGATAATCCACGAACATCCGCCATGTCTATAGAAGGTTCTCTTAATGATCTGTGATGCTGACAATGTCAGAGGTACCACATGGTCCAAAGAGTTGACACTTGTTAGAATCAGTCATATAGCGTGAGAAGCTTATTGCCGCTCCCTGACTGCTGGTAAAACATAAAGTAGATTTCCCAACATTTCCTAATTAAACAACATTTACTTTTAGTAAGGCCTCAAATCTGCCACGGATTTTTGTTCTTGTGATTTTATTTCATCGCCTTTGGGTAGGATAGGATGTTATATCCTAGCTTTTATTCCCTGGGTCTCATGCCTCAATAGCTTTTCTTGTTTTTGTTTTTGTTTTTGTTTTTTTATTTGACAGACAGATCACAAGTAGGCAGAGAGGCAGGCAGAGAGAGAGAGGAGGAGGAGGCAGGCTCCCTGCTGAGCAGAGAGCCCGATGCGGGACTCGATCCTAGGACCCTGAGATCATGACCTGAGCCAAAGGCAGAGGATTTAACCACTGAGCCACCCAGGAGCCCCAATAGCTTTTCTTGTTTTAAGGGGATGTTCTATTTCTCTCAACAGAGAAGTTAACAGAGTACATTTAAAACTAGTTCTGTGGCAAGCTCATGGACCTGCTGCGTTCCTGGTTTACCTCCCAATGATGTCAGATCTCATCACAGTTATCACTGTAATCAGTTCTGATGACCTCTGCCAACGCAGTCCCTGCAGCATTGTCTTTCCAGATAAGCTATGTGAAAGTGAAGCTGGTACAGGTCTTTTTGTGGACTAGATGAAATGACTTGTTCTAACCTTTGCCTTGATTATAGTCAGTAGGGAAACCATGATTTTAGGACAAGATAGACAAGAAGAAAAATAGACCAGCGGGACTCCTGTTGTGTGCAGTCACCATTTTCTGAACGTTCTTGTTCTCCACTTAGGTAGTAGCAGTGTTAACACATACTTGAAGGCTAGGAGGAATCCCATTGGCCAGCAGCTTTCTTCGGGGTCAACAAGGTCTGCTTTTCTGGCTTTTGTCTCTGGTCTTTCTTGTAGATAGCTTGTTTGATCGTCCAAGGACAAGGTGAACTATATAGTTATAGAGGCAAGATCATTTTTATATGAGACAGTTATAATAGGGTCATCTGAAAAAAATAGAAAAGTCCTAAATTTAGGCAGAATTTCTGACCAAAGCCCGGGTTTTTTTGCCTTTCTCAAATAAAGGATTTACATCTTGATTTCCTATCTTCAAAACAACAGGATCTATGGCTGCCTTTTTCCCTTGGCCTTCTTTTCTTTCAGTATCCTGGGTATCTAGACCTGTTTTTTTTTTTTTTTTTTAATATATTTCTATCAAATAAATTTAGTTCTTACTGTTTTTTCTAAATGATTGGATTTTTTTTTAAGATTTTTATTTATTTATTTTGACAGAGAGAGAGAGAGATCACAGGTAGGCAGAGAGGCAGGCAGAGAAAGAGAGAAGCAGGCTCCCCGCTGAGCGGAGAACCCGATGTGGGGCTCCATCCCAGGACCCTGGGATCATGACCTGAGCCGAAGGCAGAGGCTTTAACCCACTGAGCCACCCAGGTGCCCCTAAATGATTGGATTTCTTATGGCCCCTTTCAGTCTATATTCTTTTAGACTCACATTTCCTTTTTTGGGTTTTATTTATTTGTCATTTTCTAGTCATACGTCTTATTATGAAATGTTGAAAGCAACATTAGCTTTATCATAATTAATGGTGCACAAAACTTGGGAGAAGAGTGAAAACTATTCCCATACATATATGACCCAGCACTGTCATTATTTGGCAGCTAAAAGCATATTCCCACAACACCTAGAGAGAGAAAACACACAACTGAAGTCTCCTTACATTTTGCTTACATTTCCCTTTTTTGTGTTGACATTTGTTAGTTCCATTCATGAGACAGGTGTCCAAATGCTGGTTCTTCTCCAGCACATTTGGTCATGGTTATTCCTTGAGGGTTCTGTAGGGGCTCCCTATCATAGTCCCCTGGCTTGAGAGATTCTTACCTCTTTCTCTCCCTACCTGCTAACTCCCAAGGCTGTTTAGTCCACAGCCTTTTACTCTTGGATCCCCACCACCTGGGATGGGAAGGACACATAAGTTTAATTGTGGAATGTGACGGGGCTTAATCACTCCACTCATGGGTATGTGTTGTGGGGAGTATTACAAGTTGGCTTCAGTCCTGCCACTTTCCATGGTGTCGATTCAAGTTACAGGAAACTCGTGCATTTTATTTTTTTTTAATGATTTTATTCATTTGAGAGCGAGACTCACGTGTGTGCATGAGTTGGGGGATGGGCAGAGGGAGAGGCTAACTCTCTGCTGAGTGGGGGGCCTGATGCTAACGTGGGGCTCAATTCCAGGACCCTGAGATCATGACCTGGGCCTCAGCCACTCAATTGCCTGAGCCACCTAGGCACCCTGGAAACTCATTTATCCTCAGACTAAGTGGTGGGAATGTAGGTGATTCTCCAGGTACTCTCTCTTGCTTCCCTCTTTTGATCATGCTTCTTTCTCCTTGTCTCAGGTAAATGAAGTGCTAGAAGGCTCTGTAGCTTAGCAAACATCAGAAAAGAGATAATCACTATTTCCTAACTTAGTGGAAACAGGATATATGGCATTCTCAGTCTTATGGAAAAGGGAGTGAGTGCTAATGTCAAATCTTCCTCCCCTGTGTGAACAGGAGAGGGAAAGGATGGTTGCTGCTCCACAAATTCTAACTGTTAAACTCTTCCTTATTCCAAGACCTCTTATTCTTTTTGGTCCTGAAACCTAAATCAGCTTGGTCTTTCTCACCACTGGGAAGGCCTGGGGAATCTGCTGCCAGAAATGCCATTCTTAAAAAAGTTGACTCAAAGAGAAATCAGGGCCACTGAGCTCGATAGTTCTGCTATTTCTTGATAATGGGAAACAAGAGCAAATGAAAAAAAATGAAATTTTCTTACTACTTACAGCCCATTAACAAGTCCTTGAAACAGGCAGAGTGACATTCCTCTAGGAAATCAGCTGCCTTGACGTTAGTACCTTGCTAAGGGCGAAAGGCAGTCTTGGTTTAACATTATCCTGATTTCCAGGATCCTGTAAATCTTATTTAACATATAAAAATTCCTTTGGAAACTTTATCCTTTATCTCTACCCCGCCAAGATATATGTTGGCAATCATCTCCTAAGCATATAGTCCACTGATACACATCTGAAGGATCTCATGACTAAGGTTTTACTAGACAGTAATAAATGCCCTTTTCCTAACAATGGCTAGCCCCCTCAAGGTCCTGGAAACCTTCCCAAATTCCCTATAGATTTAAAATGTCCCTATCCCCGCTCCAAACTTGAAAATATATAATCACCACCCCTCACTACGTCAGTGCTGCTCTTTCTGCCCATGGTCCTATCCCCATGCTTTAATAAAACCACCTTTTTTCATTGAAGACATCTCAAGAATTCTTTCTTGACCATTTGCTCCAAACCCCAACATTACCTCATCATCTCTTATTTATTCCTGCTTTCTCAGGTAACTGAGAATAGTAAAGATCCCAGTCAGTACCTCATACTGGCCTGGTACATTTGCAAAACCTGCTTAGGAGAATTAACCACATCTGAGGCAAGCAGATAATGTGCTAAGAATTTTATCTTCTGGATTTCTCCAGCATCATTTGGTTACTCATCAAGGTGAAGTTTGTAGGGGGAAAGGAAAATAATTTCCCTCTACTCTTCTAGGTGCTTGGCTGATACACACCTGTAACAAGACAGACTAACAGAAGAAAAACAAAAGAGAAGTTTAATAGCATGTATACCTCCTATATACCTTGGAGATACCAAGGAAAACTGAGTAACTCCCGAAATGGCCATCCCCTTAAGTAACATCTCCAGATAAAGGCTAGAAGATGTTGGGGGACGGGGAGGCCAGTTACGAGAAGTTACCCTGAAAGGCACAGTAAACAAGGGTAAGGTTGTTTTTCAGAGAGAGAGAGAGAGAGAGACAGAGAGAGAGAGAGGGACATCTTTACAAATGGGAGATTTCCCTTATAAATGTAAATTGTTCTTACAAAAGATTAACTTTTACCTGGTTTTTAGAACTTCTCCTATCTCTGCAGTTTCTTACAAATAACCAGCTTAAGGGGTGCTTGGGTGGCTCTGTTAGTTAAGCATCTGCCTTTGGCTCAGGTCATGATATAAGGGTCCTGGTATTGAGGGCTCCTTGCTCAGCGGGAAGCCTGCTTCTCTCTCTGCTGCTCCCCCTGCTGTGCTCTCTCTCTTTGACAAATAAATAAATAAAGTCTTAAAAACAAAACAAAAAAACCCAGCTCAAGATAATAATCCTTAAGCTGAAGAGCCATATTTTGGGGTGACATATTTCGCTCCCCTACATTTGCATCTTTGAGATTTGAGTCTCCATGTGTTGTCAAGGGGCATATTGTTGACAGTTTGCCCTAAATCCAATGGTTGTACAGGGCATTGATTTGAACAGTGACTTTTCAAAGAAACAACATGATTCAGGAAGCCAAGAAACACCAGCACTTCAGAATTCTAGGGCACCAGCAGAATGGTTATTACTTAAGCCACCATTAGTAGGGATGGCAGATATACTAAGGAGCCCAGCTACTGCTGGGATAGCTGGGGTGGATATGGTTTCCAGACTCGTCTTTGTGGTGTGGGGAGGAAAAACTTTCCTCTACCTTCTTTGGGTTCCTGGCTGGGTCTGAAAATTAAACCGATAAAGACAAAGTAACAGGAGAAAAGGATATAAATTGATTTAATACAAGTTTTATGTGACATGAGAACTTACATAAGGAAATAAAGACCTGAAGAAACAGACCTCCAGTTGTAGGGAAGGCACTTCTCTTAGGAGGATTTTATCATCAGTTTCAGGGAAGAAGGGCAAGGGAGGGAGATCAAAAAGACCTTCTTGCTCTGGCTGTTTTCCCAGACTCCTTCAGCATAAAATGTTCACTCTGCCAAGGTGCCATTTTTGGGATAGTGTGTCCTGAATCCCATCAGTGCTTTGGAGCTTCCCTAATGCCATTACCATGCAACTGTTTCAATGAAGGCAAGTCACAGGAAGAAAGTAATGCAAATTTTTGCAAAAGATTTTATTTATTTATTTGAGAGAGCGAGAGCACAAGCAGGAGGAGGGCCAGAGGGAAAGGGAGAAGCAGATTTCTTTGCTGAGCAGGGAGCCTGATGCGGGGCTCTATCCCAGGACCCTGGGATCATGACCTGAGCTGAAGGCAGATGCTTAACCAACTGAGCGACCCACATTTCCCAAGTAATGCAAATTTATAAAAAGACTGAAGAAAATTAAAAATGCAAGATTAAGAATTAAAATATTAAGAACAGGGGGCGCCTTGCTGACTCAGTCAATAGAGCATGTGACTCTTTTTTTTTTAAATAGGTTTTTTTTTTTTTAAAGATTTTATTTATTTATTTGACAGATAGAGATCACAAGTAAGCAGAGAGGCAGGCAGAGAGAGAGGAGGAAGCAGGTTCCCCGCTGAGCAGAGAGCCCGATACAGGGCTCGATCCCAGGACCCTGAGATCATGACCAGAGCCGAAGGCAGATGCTTAACCCACTGAGCCAACCAGGCACCCCTAGAGAATGTGACTCTTGATATTGGGGTCATGAGCTCAAGCCCCATGTTGGGTATAGACCTTATTTTTAAAATAAAATTGAAAAATTATTAAAAATATTAAGAACAGAACTTTAAAAGTGAAATAGTAATAAAAGCTTTAAAATGAACCAACTCTACTTCTGTTTCAAGATGGCCATTGAGCTCATTCTTTTTTTTTTTTTTTAAATATTTAATTTATTTATTTGACAGACAGAGATCACAAGTAGGCAGAGAAGCAGGCAGAGAGAGAGGAGGAAGCAGGCTCCCTGCTGAGCAGAGAGCCCGATGCGGGGCTCGATCCCAGAACCCTGGGATCATGACCTGAGCCAAAAGCAGAGGCTTTAACTCACTGAGCCACCCAGGTGCCCCTGAGCTCATTTTTTTAACTTCCATTCAAATTACATCAAAATATCAAATATTAAAATAGAAGAAAATGGTATCAATGATAGAAAACAGCAGAAGATGCCATTAATTAGCTAGATAGTTTTGCAAACTATGATGAAGTGGAATTGGGGTAAGATACGATTCCACGGTTCAGTATTCTTCAGGAAAGAAGGTGATATTCAGCTAGGAATTAAGTGCATGCCCTAGCTTGGGATTTTTGAGTGATATGAATTCCTTTTGGTCTGGTCCGGAGTAAATCTCCATGATCTGGAAGTACAAGGCCAAATGTCCCTGCACCCAGTACATAATGTGGAGGGAAAATAGGATGTCAGGAGTTCATAGCATATGTCTTATTCAGTGGGACAAGGATGATGACTCCCAGTCCTGCAGTGTGTGAATTTCTTGGTCAGTTTGGCTGGATGCTCCAGCTCTGTTCTCCAGAAGATTTTTCCTTATCCTCCACAGGACATGTGGCTTCATGGTCAAAGGGTTGAGCAATCACAGGCCTTTTTTGTCCCAGAGACTTAATTCTGGATGGCTTTGAGATCTGTCAGTTTGCTGGACAGAAGGTGTGCACTGTTGACCATGTTTCTACTCTGAGCACTACTACTTTGCTTCTTCATTTCTAAAGGACAGACTGGGAGCAGTGTTTTTCAACTATTGGCCACGAGCAATTAGTGAGGTGTGAAGTCAATCTAATGAGTTGCCACTAGCAATTTAAAAAGAAAGAAAAAAAGAACAGAATAGGGGCAACTGGGGCTGGCTCAGCGGTAGAGCATGCAACTCTTGATTTTGGGGTTCTGGGTTCAAGCCCCATATTGGGCTAAGAAAACCAGAAAAGAATAAAATCTATCCAGTGCATTGCACATAGCAGAGATAAATGTTGTTTGTTAATTATTTTGATGTTATAAATATATTTGAATATGTGTACTGGTTTGCAGTGCAAAAGTATATGGGTTACTGAAAATCACTGCAGATCTCATTTTCTAAAAGCACTTTTGAAGAGACCTGATGAAAAGATTTCTATAACTAAAGTGAGGACAACAAGTAATTCAGACAGAGGTAGGGTTTTTAAAAAATTGAGGTATGGGGGGGCGCCTGGGTGGCTCAGTGGGTTAAAGCCTCTGCCTTTGGCTTCGGTCATGATCCCAGCGTCCTGGGATCAAGCCCCGCATTGGGCTCTCTGCTGTGCCAGGAGCCTGCTTCCTCCTCTCTCTCTGCCTGCCTCTCTGTCTACTTGTGATCTCTGTCAAATAAATAAATAAAATATTTTTGTAAAAAATTGAGGTATTGGGATAATTACTTCTATTTTCTCTTTTGTTTTGGGTATCAAAGTAAAGCTTGTAGATACTTTAGCAATGAAATTGAGAAATTAGTGCTAGAGTTATTAGAATAGCTCAAGCCATACTTTATAAACTTTGGAGCATTTCTGCTTTCTCCACAGCATTTACCCAGTTTCTTGCTCATTGGGAAGTCTATAAATATTTGTTAAATAAAGGAATGAAATAAAGAATGAAGTAGACTGGGGTGCCTGGCTGACTCCATTGGTAGCACGTGCGACTGGATCTCAGGATTGTAGGTTCAAGCCCCAGGTTGGGTGTAGAGATTACTTTAAAAAAAAAAAAGAAAGAAAAAAGAATGAAGTGAACCATTCCTGTCGCCTACTTATTTTTTTTTCCCAAAGATTTTATTTATTTATTTATTTGGTAGAGAGAGATCACAAGTAGGCAGAGAGGCAGGCAGAGAGAAAGGAGGAAGCAGGCTCCCTGCTGAGCAGAGAGCCCAATGCGGGGCTCGATCCCATGACCCTGAGATCATGACCTGAGCCGAAGGCAGAGGCTTTAACCCACTGAGCCACCCAGGCGCCCCTTGCCTACTTATTTTGACCAGAACCTATTTTTCCAGTCTGATTTTCCTTTATACATTTTATGATCCTACACTGTGAAAATTAATTTGCCTTTGGTCTTCTGAAAGAACATTTTTAAAATTTGTCAGATTTGAAAATGATACTTATTTTGGGCAAACCAAGCCCTCTAGTTACATATTTAGTATAAATATTTAAAGAAATGAAACAGGGGCACCTGGGTGGCTCAGTGGGTTAAAGCCTCTGCCTTCGGCTCAGGTCATGATCTCAGGGTCCTGGGATCGAGCCCCGCATCGGACTCTCTGCTCAGTGGAGAGCCTGCTTCCTCCTCTCTCTCTCTCTCTCTGCCTGCCTCTCTGCCTACATGTGATCTCTGTCTGTCAAATAAATAAATAAAATCTTAAAAAAAAAGAAATGAAACAAAAGCTAACATATGTTTTTTTTTTTTAATTTAAGGATTTTATTTATTTATTTGCAGACAGAGATCACAAGTAGGCAGAGAGGCAGGCAGAGAAAGGAGGAAGCAGGCTCCCCACAGAGCAGAGAACCTGATGTGGGGCTCGATCCCAGGATACTGAGATCATGACCTGAGCCGAAGGCAGAGGCTTTAACCCATTGAGCCACCCAGGTGCCCCAACATATGGTTTTTTAAATGCAGTTTTTCCTTTTACTATGTTTGTGTGGACAAACCTAAACATTTGTCTTCTGGTTAAAAAAAAGTAATCAGAAAGGGTGTACCATATTAGGATTCCAAGTAGTACAGAAATAAGAGAATTTTCCTTATGGTGTAAATTGCCTTCTCCTCAGCTTTCAAAGCTTTAGAAATTGTATTCTGGCTTACTGGTTTTTTCATTTTTCCCTTCACAGTACAATTTGCTCATTTGTGTAAATTTTTGTTCAATGTCTATGATAATGATTGCTGTGTATGACTGATCCACAATTGGATAAATTATGAAGATACATTTTTCTCTTAATTATATTATGGGATTCTGCAGGAATGTTTTAACAGTACAATATATTCCATAATGAAAATACGTAATCCAAAATTTCCCGGGCACAAGAAAGTACTTCAGTTATGTTGGTCCTGCCCAGCAGGCTTTGACCATCTTGCAAGTTGTAGATACTGGCTCTGTGGGAGGTCTTTCTGCAAACAAAACTCACAAAGCTGAGTTGTGAAGCTCTTAGGAGGAAGGAGAGGGAGCTCTGTCCTCTGACACTATTGTTGCCTCTAGAATACTTTATTCCCTGCCCCACCCCACCCCCAACCACCAGGAGAAAACAATGAAACAAATTGTAGGAAAAGAGAAAATAGAGTAAGTTCACTTTAATTAAGCATGCTTTCTGCCTTTTAAAAAGTACTCATTCTGGGGTGCCTGGCTAGCTCTTTGGGAACAGCATTCGACTCTTGATCTCGGGGTTGTGACTGTGAGTCCCACTTTGGGTGTAGAGATTACTAAAAAAAAATGCACTTAAAAAAAAGTATTCACTTAAAAGAAAGTATTCATTTTGTGGTGGGAACTGAACATCTTTTAAGAAGTATAACTGGGTTATAAGGAAATCTTAATTGAATTGAAGGACTTCACCTAGGCAGGCACAATTCTATTTTGTCTTCACCTAGCCTTGAGAGGCTAGATTATTTTGCCAAGATATTATAGTAGGGAACCTGGAGTTCAGAATTCCAGTATCTCTCAAGCTCTTGTTTGAGTTTGACAGTTTAGCCTGTATCTTCTTATTTGTAAGGTGAAAAGTGCATTTGCTTATAATGTATGTATTCTTTTTACGATTTTTAAGTAATCTCTACACCCAGTGTGAGGCTCGAACCCACAAGCCTGATATCAAGACCCACATGTTCTACTGACTGAGCTGGCCAGGCGCCCCTGCTTGTAATATTTTTGACATTTCCATATAGAAAGGGGAAACAATTATATAGGCTTGTTCTAGAAAAAATATGAATAGCCCACTTAAAAATGGAGCGCTTTGGGGTGACTGGATGTCTTAGTCAAGTGGCAGACTCTTGATTTTTGCTCAGGTCATGGTCTCAGGGTCCTGGGTTTGAGCCTCATATTGGGCTCCCTGATCGACCAGGAGTCGGCTTTAGGATTCTCTCTTTCCCTCTGCACGCCACCCCTCCACCTGCTCTTTCTTGTGCTCTCTCTATATGAAATGAATAAATCTTTAAAAGAAATGGAACACTTAAAAATGTTTTTGTCTATTGGTAAAGAGTTTAGCCTTAACTTTTTTCCCTCTGTACGCCAAATACATTTCAACATGTATTACCCATTTAATAGTACCTATAATAATAGTAACTTTTTTACTAAGTAATCTCTACCCCTATTGTGGCGCTCCAACTCACAACCCCAAGATCATGAGTTGCATGCTCCACCAACTGAGACAGCCAGGCACCCCTAAAAAAACTGACATTTTTCAGAGCTCATTTTGTGCTAGGCATTTTACTAAGAGCTTCCCCTGTAGTAGTCTTATTTAATTTAGTTGTTTTGTAGGTATGCATTCCTTCCATTAACTAAGAGCCCAGCACTGTGAAAAAGTGTTAATTTATGAAATCAAGTACTTCAGGGGCACCTGGATGGCTCAGTTGATTAAGCATCTGCCTTTGACTGAGGTCATGATCCTAGGGTCCTGAGATCAAGTCCTGCATCGGGCTCCTTTCTTAGCAGGAAGCCTGCTTCTCCCTCTGCCAACTGACCCCCCTGCTTCTGCTTTCTTTGACAAATAAATAAAATCTTAAAAAAAAAAAAAACCAACAAAAAACTTTCTGTGAATTCCTCACATTCCTGAATAGATAAAAGATTATCAAAATAATAATTGTTGAAACTGGGTGACCAATATGTAGGGCTTCATTATACTATTTTACTTTTGTTTACCTATGAAAATTTCTGTGATAAAAAGTGAAAAACACAAATAGGAAGCAACTCTTCCCAAGATCAGCTGTCCTGCTTTTATGTTCTTTTCTCTCTTGTTTCCAGTTTAGCATGACAGTTGCCTACATATGGGGATGAATTTTTCTGTAGCTGGGGAGGGAAAGATCAGTGGCATTCATACTGTGACACCCCTCCCCCGTTCTTCCTAATGAATGCTGGAAGTTTCTTTTCTCATTTTTTTTTTTTTTTTTTTGAAACCTCTGTCATACACATAGGAATCTATACAAAGGTGTTAATGGTTTTCTTTGGTGGCAGGTTCAAGAGATGGCACAGTTGGGGACCTTTGCTCTTTTTATCCACCAGAATCACTTCCTACCCTCATTTGGGAAGAGCAGCTTCCTTTCTATGGGGACCAAATCCTTCCTGACTCCTTATAGTTCTGGTGGGGCTGCTACTCAAATTACCCCACCTCCTATCTACAGGACTGGGTGTATGATCAGAGACTGGATACACATATACTCTACTTGTTGTTGACCACATTAATTGACCTATGGATGGACACATGACCTGAAGCAGGTCAATTGGGATCCTTTCCTACAATCTTATTTACAGATGGTAAAATAAAAATAAAATAAAATAAAATAAAAGCCTCTCTTTTCCCTGGGATTGCTGGCTGAGGTCATGGAGCTGTCCCTGGTAATGCTTTCTCCACTCACCAGCCTATAGAAGCTCATATGTAATTGGAAAGAATAAGGTTTAAACATTGAAAACAGCAGGGAGAGGAAGAGTAGGATAAAAAGAGAATGAATATGGAAAAGAAATGATGATTCTAATTCCTGGATCCTGTTATTCCTGAAGCCTCTATCCTTTCCTCCATTGTAAGGTGGGAGTCAGTACTGGCTCCTTTCCTCCAGTTAGTGTGAGTTGGGGTTTTGTTATTTGTATCTAAAAGTATCTAAAAGTAAGGTCATGAGGAGAGCTACTGCTCTGTACTTCAGGAGTATTATCTGAATTCTAGCTAAGAATTACCATCTAGCATAGTGTCTGGTACATGGTAAGCACTCAAGAAAGCTGTGTTGGGAGACCTCCAGCTCATCCTTGATAATTGCTAAGCTCTTTGGTTATTCTTGTGACTTTTTGGTGTCTTGATTAAAATAGAGATAATATTCATCTCCTTCACTTTCTTGCTTTCTGAATATAACTTGAAGATTATTGCTGATTAAATTCGAATATCTTAAATATGGCTGTTTTCGCAACTGAAAGCACTATTTTTGCATAGCTAGAAAAATTGACTTTCAACCCGATTCCTAGTGCAGTTTTCTAAGAAACCCTTTCTGATGTGCAGCATGGCAGGCCCACCTCAAAGCACATCAATCATCTTCCCAGCTATCAGGCACCTTTTACAGGATTTTCTGTGATCCCGGTGTCAGTGCACATTCTGTATCAAGGCAGAGGTGATATGTGGAAATCTGGCAACTACTTAGAAGGGAGTCCAGGCAGTGCTGTGCCAGTGTA